ACCCTAGATTCATCGTTTCAGGAAGTCATGATGAATCTTTAAGGGTAGATGAAATTGCTATAAATTTCATAGAGACTGGAGAGCCTTATAATCATAAGTCCATAATAGTCGATATTTATTTCTCTAAACAAATTGCAAATATCCTTCAAACTGATTCAGATCCTAAGTCTATGAAGGAGTGCAAGAAGCGCTTGGACTGGGATAAGTAGAAGGTAGCAATTGAAACAGAGATTGCCTCACTTTATAAAAGGAAGTGTTTTTGGCCATATTGCCAACACCCCCTGGTATCTTCCTTGTGGGATACAAATGGGTTTTCGTCTGCAAAAGGAACAAAAACAACGAAGTGGTGAGATATAAAGCAAGACTTGAGGCATAAGGTTTTACGCAAAGACTTGGCATTGATTTCAATAAAACTTACTCTCCAGTAATGAGTGGAATAACATTCTGATACTTAATATCACTGGTAGTACAAAATCATCTATCTATACAGTTGATGGACGTAGTGACCGCATACTTGTATGGGTCATTGGATTTTGATATATACATGAAAGTTCCTGATGAAATCAATATAGCGAATCCCAAGGCAAATCGCAACATGTATTGTGTTAAGTTGCAAAAGTCATTATATGGCTTAAAATAGTCAGACCGAATGTGGTACAATCGGTTGAGTGAATTCTTTAAGTTGAAGGGATACACAAATAATGATGATTGCCCTTGTGTCTTCATTAAAAAAATCATCAGCAGGATTTTGTATGATATCGATGTATGTTGATGATCTTAATATCATTGGCAACGAACCCGATATTAATGAAGCACGTCATCATTTAAAGACAAAATTTGAAATAAAAGATTTAGGTCAAACCAAATTCTGCTTGGGTTTATAACTTGAGTATTTTTGTTCTGGTATATTTGTATACCAAGCTGCCTATGTCCAGAAAGTATTGGAGAAATTCAATATGGACAAGTCATATCCAACACAAACCCTGATGGCAGTAAGATCCTTAGATGTTGAGAAGGATCCTTTTAGACCACGGGAAGAAGGAGAAGAGATATTGGGACCACATGTCCCATATCTTAGTGCCGTTGGAGCACTAATGTATCTTGCTAATAGCATCCGACCGGATATTGCATTCACACTAAACTTGCTGGCAAGACATAGTGCTGCACCTACCAAACGTCATTAGATAGGAGTTAAACTGTTTTGAGATATCTCAATGGCACTAGAGATCTTGGATTGTTCTATAGTAGAAATCAAGATCTAATTTTGTTAGTATATACAGATGCTGGTTATTTATCAGATTTCCACAATGGTAGATCACAAATAGGCTTTGTATTCTTGCAAGGTGGAACAATAATATCTTGGAAGTCTTCAAAGCAGACTTTGGTGTCTAGTTTCAACAATCATTCTGAAATAATTGCTTTATATGAAGCATCACACGAGTGTGTATGGCTTCATAGAATGATAAACCACATAATACAATCATGTGGTATTGTTGCACTTGAGACACCAACCATTATCTTTGAGGATAATGCGACATGTTTTGTGCAAATGGAATCAGGTTATATTAAGAGTAATATGACTAAGCATATTATTCCCAAGTTATTCTATCCCCATGAACTCCAAAAGAATGGAGAAATTGAAATCTTGCAAACTAAGTCTTGTGACAATCTTGCAGATTTATTCACAAAGTCTCTACCATACTCCATATTCCATAAATGTGTTAAAGGGATTGGTATGAGAAGGTTTAGAGGCTTGCAAGAATCAGGGGAAGAATCACTTTGAATCATAACATGTATTCAGACATCACATTGCACTCTTTTCTTTATATGAGTTTTACTCTTCTGGAGTTTCCTCATGTAAAGTTTTTAATGAGGTGATGTCAACATATAGTAAATGTCATATTATCTATTTTTCCTTATAGGGGTTTTTCAAAGATAATATTTATGACATATTGATCTTTGATCAAATTGTTTTTAGACTGTCTCGGTACACTTTGGTTTTCTTCATAGGGTTTTCCAAAGCTTCAAGATGATGACTGATGAACAATCAACGATGCCTACACGAAACCAATTGGTCAAGGAGGAGTGTAATGATTCATTATTTAGTGATCAATTTATGTTAATCTCATCATTAGCAACTACTAATGATAGTTCCAGAATATGCATAGAGAGGCACCTTTTTGTCAGCAGACAACCACCCCTTAGGCTTGTATATATGTACAGACACTGTTCATCAATAGAATACATCAGCCACTTTCGTCCGATTACTTTTCACTTAAACATAATCATTGCATCTGCTCAAGTGATCATTATGAAAAATATGTAAAATCAAGCCTTAAATTTGCACTAAGGGTGTGATTGGTTGCTTTGGTGAGGGGAAGCCGGGATGGAGAGCCGGTCCAGGATGGTGAGATTCATGCTCAAACCGTGTACTCAGTCGTGTTTGGTTGTCTTTGTTGTTGGTTCAGTATGAGATGATATCTTGTTTGGTTGAATGCATGGATGTGAGTTTTGAGTGTATGACACATGGGTCGCTGCGCCATGCCTGAATCAAGCCATCTTGCATGGAGAGGGAAGTGGAAATTGAGAAGATGAAGTCATGCGGGATGGAGGAGGGCAGATGAATGAAAGGATACATGCAAAAGGTGCGAGGATGGCAACCAAACACGCCGCATAAAATGAGGTCAGACAACTAAACAGTGCGGGGACGGCCCGGTTCGGCCTACCAATTAGCCCCTAAATCATTCATGTTTACTATTATGAACAATAATATAACCCTAAATTTGCATCTTAAGTTTCACACTTTTTACAATTTTGGTTGGAGACGAACAAAACTAGACCTCACTTGCATATGTTTCGAAGAATTTTATTCTAGTGCAATTGATATGTATCAACTTATAACGTATAACATATGATATCTAACTTATAACATATAACTTGAAAACACAAAAGTTATGAAACATAACTTATTTACAAAAGTTATTAAACACAAAGGAACGAATTGACTTATAATTTATGCCAAAACTTAGAAACACAAAAGTTATTAAACACAACTTATAAAAAAATACCAAACACAACTTGTGTATACAAGTTATTCTATATGACTTGTATACATAAGTTATGCTTATACAACTTGCCAACACTACCAAAAAATTAAAAGGAAAAAATATATAAAAGAAGAATAGAAAATATAAAAAATAAAAAGAATACTAAAAAACACATAAGTTATTAAACATAAAGAAACGAATTAACTTATAACTTATACTAAAACTTAAAAACACACAAGTTATGAAACACAATTTACATATAAAAGTTATCAAACACAAGTTAGTGTATATAAGCTACTCTATACAACTTATCAACGCTTGAAAATAAATAAATAAATAAATAAATAGAGAATAAAAAATATAAAAAATGAAAAGAATACTAAAAATCACTTAAACCAAAACTGAATAAAAATAAAAAGAATAAGAAAAAAGAATAGAAAAGGCTAAGTTTATACAGGTTGTACACGTGAAAGTAAAGAAAAAATGAAGAAGACACGTCAGTACATGTCGCATAAAAAAATCGAGCATAGACCCACCACGTCCGTTAAAACAACGTGGTCTCTCGTTCACTGCGGCGCGCCAGAAAAGGAAAGAAAAATAGGTCAGGAAAAGAAAACGAACCAGTCCAGACAGGCTCCGTCATTCATCGTATTTGAATCGCGCGAGCGACCGCGGGATTGGAATTTGGAGGTCTCGCAAACTGCAACTAGAGTTTTAGGATGCTACTTTGAAGTTCCTATCTAGCTGAAGATTCTTTTAAATTCAGAGATCATAGACTCACTAAGGTCCTGTTTGGTTGAGTTGTAGCTTCTGAAAAAGCTGCTGTGAGCTGTAGCTGTTGGAAAAGCAGTTGTGAGATGTGAACTGTGGGCAAGGCCAAAAGCCATTTGGTTGAGCAGATGTAACATTTTGGAAAAGCAGCTGTTAGCAAGTCCCACGTGCCAACCGACCCCACCTGTCAGTCACCCAGCATATTTCTCATGTTTTTTCTCCATACACATCTTCTTCTTATATAGATGAGTACGAGGAACATGAGGCCGGTGAGGGGCGGTGCTCCGGCGAGCCTGGGACGGGGCCGCAGCTCGCGTCCGCCACAGCCGAGGATGGGGCCACGCTTGCCGCAGCGGGGGATGGGACGGGGCCGCCCCTGCGCCCGCCGGTGCCAGGGACGGGACGAGGCTACGCTAGCGCCCGCCGGTGCCGAGTACGGGGCCGCGCCCGCGCCCGCTGGGGCAAGGGACGGGGCCGCGCCCGGATCCAAGTACTAGGAGGGAGAGAGACGTCCGAAGATGGCCTAGCCGTGCTAAGCTTGAGCTTGGGCGGCAATGGTGGTAACGGCGGTGAAATCCGGCCCTAGGGGCCTCAACCCTAGACGGCCGACGGCGCAAACAGGTAGGGAACAAGGAGGGAGTCAAGGCAGAGCTATATGCGCGACGAATCGGGTAGAGGCGGTTTGGTGGTGGCGAATTTGGCTGGCGGAGCTCGTGCGGGCGGCAATGGTGTGCGCGCCTGGGAGATGGCAAAGAGGGAGAGTGAAGAGCGAGCAGGGGGGAGAGAGAGATGTGCTGCCGTCCGAGCTTGCTCGCGGAGGGGAGAGGGCCACCGGAGAGGAGATGTGCCGCCGGAGGGGAGATGCGCCACCGGTCCGAGCCTGCTTGCGGAGGAGCAGCGCTCTTTCTTTCACGTGGTAGAAGACGAGTCGCGAGCAAATCGAACCGGTACGCACATAATGGATGGCGTTGTGGGTAAATTTTCACCCTCACAGCCGGTGGAAGCAGCTTTCCCCCTGCTGTAGAAAATGAACTACGTGAAAGCTCGTTTTTGCAAAAGCTGTTGGTCTACAAGAGGCCTTTGGTTGGCCTTTGAGCTTTTAGGAGCAAAAGCCAAACCAAACACTCCCATGGAATAAACAACCTACTCAACCTCAATGTTAATACGACAGGTTGCGACTTTTTATAGCTGAATCTTACTCCGAAATGAACTTGACGAGGATCCACCCTCTTCACACGCAGCGCGAGCTGCATCCTTCAGCAACGCCACTTTCCTCAGCCTGTCCTCGGCCTTCACCGTGTCGCGACGCATGAGCCTATCCACTGCCGCGGCGATCTCCACTCTTTCTATGACGCAGTCGTCCCGTGCCTTCTCCCTGAGACCAAGCCCAGTCTTCCACACCTCGACGACAAGCCGGCTGTTGACCGGCTGGTCGAACGCTATGGGCAGGGTCAGCATGGGCACGCCGGCGTACACCGCCTCGAGCATAGAGTTCATGCCGCAGTGGGTGAAGAACCCGCCGACCGAAGGGTAGCAGAGCACCCTCAGGCCTCAGCTGATCGGTCCACGGCACGACGACGCCGGCGTCGCGCCCACCGACGAGACCTCGCACGTGGGAGCGCGCGTCGGTGTCGCGGAGCGCCAACAGGAACCTGGCCTTGCTCTTGGCTAGGCCGGCGACGATCTCGTCGAGCTAGGAGATTCCCGCCTCGGTTAAGTTTTCTATAGCAGTGATAGTCTAAGGCCTTGTTCGCTTGTCTTATGAGCCGAACTATTTCAGCAAACGAACGGTGTTTTTCTCTCACAACCAATCAGCGAACAGTACTTTCAGCCATGGCTTTTCAGCAAAATGAACATGGCCTAATACGGGCTAATGGACTCTAACCACCAATTAGCCCACATTGGCTCTTATTCACCCATAATTAGCTCATATTTAGGCTTTCTAATTGATATATGAAAACAGGAGCTAATTATTAGCTCTGGGTTCCAAACATGCCCTATATATTGCCAAAAAGTCAACTCACCCAAGCTGCCTTATGATGATAACATAATGTACTTTTGTTCAACGGCGATGTGCGATGGTTGTTATGAATGCTAGCTAACTGGAGAGAGTTGACATTTGTGACAACAACTGACAACTGGCTAATTAGTAACGTGATTACACGAACTCTAATATGTTAACTATTTCATTCATAGCTAGGTAGGATTGTGTTTTAGAGTTTCTTGCTCATGCTCCCTCCGTCCTCAAATATAGCATATTCTGGCCATTTTCAGATAAAATAAGGGAGAGCGTAAAAGACGCATGCACCATTCACTTACCTTTCTAATGTATTTAAATCTGATTTTTTCGTATGATTAAAGGGTGAATTTTTAGTCTTCTTATACAAAATATGGTAAGTACATGAATTACTTTCTTTATACAAAATAATCACGTATTTTATTTAAGTAAACATTATCTTCTTATTCCCCGAATGCACTATATTTTAGGACAATTTTTAAATGCCAGAATGCAAAATATTTCAGAACGGAGGGAGTATATAACGGGCAACGGATATATATAGATCGATAGTGTAGATGTCATGCTCGTGGAATGCGTTATGCGGGAATTTATTTGAGCAACGTTAATTTAAAGATGCATAAGTTAAGTTAGTTCAGCAAGAACGTGGCTTGCTGCCGAGTGGACATCCAACAACTACGTAACTCCGAGCTCAAGTCAACTCGCAAGAACAGGACGTGCCTTATTTGTAAAAATGATTTTGTTATGTTGTTCTTAAGGTTTTGTTTCGATGTATGTGTATCAATTTCAATCTACATGTATTAAAGTAGAACTTAGTTTAATTTCAGTTAAATCCACTTCGACATATGTGGGTTAAGATAGATACATGTGTATCCAAACAAGGCCTAAAGTCAATCATGAAGTCGACAAGGTGCAGGAATGTACCAGCTTCCTCATGTCCTCGTCCCAGTGCCAATCATGTCTGTGTAATATGCATCTCCATAAACATTCTGCCGCAGATCATTTTTGTTTTGCTGGAAAATCTACCACCACCCTTCAGCTGAGCGTTTCAACGCCCCCAGCTCAACACTCAATTAAGGCCGTGTGTGCGCCCAACAACAGAGGTGGAGCCAGAAATTATACATATGGGGGACAAAAAAAACCAACTTATAAAAACTAAGCGCGGCTCGACTGATTAGGTTTTCCATGGTGACCGTCCAGGTTAATTATAGACTTGATACAATTGCTCGCATTTTTTATATGTACTCTCGAATTTAAAGCTCTATTCATTTAGTGGCAGGCGACATACCCATTGAAGAAAGGCTCTACGATGACTTGATAAATCTCGAGATGTACCGGCCTAGTCTTTCAGTGGTATTCGTAGAAATGATTTTATCTAGTTGTGTTTTTCTATGATTTTATTATCTACTCTATCCTTCCCGTAAAAAGTGTCGCTATAGAATTCGTGTTGGTCTTAAGTTTGACTACGTTTATATAAAATATTAGTAATATTTATATCTTTATAAATAAGTTTGTTATGAGAATATATTCAATGATCTATATGATGATATTGATGTATTGCAAATATTAATATTTTCTTAAATAAGTTTATTATGAGAATATATTCAACAATAAATCTAATGATACTAATTATGTAATATAAATATTAATATTTTCTTATATATTTGATAAAAGTTGAAAATATTTGACTTCCTCCCATTAAGCTAGATCTGAAGATCATCCCTGAAACATGATTCAACCACATCAATACCCAAATGCCTAGGCTTGTGGAGATATAAAGCTTAAAAAGTTTTTTTTTCTAGAATACGCAGGAGCACACCACACAACACACACCTTGGGATTTCAACCGTTACAAACGCGCCTGTTCACAACAAAGAGACGACCAAAACCACAACTACAGGAGCCGCTAGCCACCATGACTAGCAGCACCCTGACCTCTGAGACCCTTGGCGCCTGCCAGCATCCAGTGAAGTATGGTAGCTTGTGTTGTACTAGAATTCAGCTAGTGGGAGCCATTGCTTCCAATGAATGGGCCAAGCATGTACAAAAACACTTCGAGTAGCCCTCCAAACACTGTTTGACATGTTGAGTTTGGCCATCAGTCTGTGGGTGGCAAGATGCTTTAATCTTTAATTCAGTCTTTGTCAACCTGAATAGCTCTTGCTATAAAGAACTAGTAAAGATTCTATCGCTGTCTGATATGATTGCTTCAGGCGGGCGGACCATGCATGAAGTTTGAATATGCTATCCATGTAACTAATATCAACTTCAAGTGTAGTAAAAGGGTGGGTTAAAGGAATGAAATGAGCATACTTAGATAATTTCTCTACCAACACCAATATGCAATAAAAGTGCTTGGACTTGTGAAAACCTTCTGTGAAATCTAAACTGGAAACTTGCTAAGCGTATTCTGATATAGGAAGAAGCTGCAAAAGGCCATTATACTTTACCTTTTCTGAATTAGCTTGCTGACAAATTGCACACTGCGCTACAAATTGCTTAATCGTTGCTTTCATGTCGGGCCAAGCAAAAAGATTCTTAATTTGTGACCATATGCCTTCCGAAGGGGCTTGAATGCATAGAGTCAAATATTTTGGTTTGGATAGGGGTGGTGTTATTACCTACCCAAATGCCCTTATATACCTAATGACACCTTGCGTCAAGGAGAAACGCTTGGGGATTTTGCACAAGTGTTGGTCTTCCATATCAGATTATAAGGAATCAAGGATCCACTTAACCAAGATGGAGGAGATCCATGCAACCAAACACATCCTTGTGGTTCATCTCCCCCTCACCCCTCGTGACCTCCAAACCTCGACTCCTGCTCCTCCTTGGCTAGCCCCACGGCAACCCGAGCTCCGTCCTTCACCTTGCAGATATGTGTCTAGACTAGAAGTTGGGTGTGCGTATCAGACTCAAAATAGACAACAACAGAGGAGAAGAATGAGACGGGATATAGGGAATGCCTACCAAATGCTGAGGGGCCACAAATTCGTGTTTCCGTTGGCCTCCAAAAACAATTAAGTGTTGTATAGCATTTCTCAATAATATTGTGACAATAATATCACACGTAGGCGCACATTCCATAACACGCAAGGGTGTCTTCTCACGCCATCATCACTAAACACGCAAGGGTGTCTTCTCACGCCATCATCACTTCAACTGCTGGCTGTGCTTGACGCCGAGGATGGGAAGCCATCTCCTGGTATGGTGTCCGATTGTAATTGTATCCTCCCACATGGTGCCGAGGGACGTCCGGGAGTGGCTCTTGCCATTGCCCGTGCCTCTGAGGAGCGGACCACTGCGTCTCCGTCGGAATCGCGATGGCTTCCGCAGCCGGCGGGTACGAACCATCAGGCTTCGGTTCAGAGGCCCCTGCTGCTGCCGGCGCCGTCGACCGCGCCGCCTGCGAGCGGAGCATGCTGTATGACGTGATCGCCAGAGCGGTGGCGGCGAGGCTCAGCAAGGCCGCCATCCTCAAGTACCCGTCCCTGAGGAGCCTGCACCACGAGTCGTACCTCATCACGGGGAGGTTCCACGCCACGCCGTTCGCGTAGATCACCCCAGCAATCAGCGCCGCTATCCATGAGAGGACGGCGCACACGATGCCGGTGACCCGCTTGGACTCGGAGGCGCGGTGCCGTGGCCTGCAGCAGCCACAGCAGCCGCTGGCGAGCGAGGCGATGATCATAGCCACCGCCAGCAGCGGGATCGCGATTAGCGCTAGCAGGTACGCCGGGTTGGCCGGGTAGTCGCACTCCCCGGTGTAGACGTCGATGTTGACGTCATGTCCCTGCAAGAAATTAAGTGTACATACGTCGTCGTCCATCAATGGAAGACTGGAAGCATCTTGCAAACGGTAAGGGAAGAGGGAACGAAGGTCAAAAATAGGTGTCTTATTTGCTTACAGTGAGCTTTGTGCGCTCGGCGATGAACCCCAGCACGGCGCTCGCCAGCCCAAACAACCCCACCACGAGGGACAGGACGATCACGCCGATGTCCATTAGATGATTTTGATCCAATGTGCCTAGCTCGCTTCCTCTGTCTCTGAGATCGGTAAGTGAGACGTACGGTACCGTAAGACGCCTGTCTGTGTACTGGTGGTGACAAATGTACGTGCTGATGCATGTTTATATAGAGAACGCGGAGAGAGTGCTTATATGATTTATATATCGTGCCATCAGCCTGTAGTATTATGTGGGTTAGTTCACGCTGTCCCATATATTGCGTACCTCTTGTAATCTTGCTAGACCAAAGTAGTCAACTCGGTACATGGTCAGCATCTTCAGATGGTTGCGATGCGACATGTATGTTCCTTAGCAAGTAGCGTACGACAAACATAGGCAGTGTATAATATGGCCATGTTTGGATCCCAAAGCTAAAAATTAGCTCACTTTGTGAAAATAGATTAAACATGAGCTAATTATAGGCTAATACACTATAAAAAACTTAACTGAGGCATTTGGCAAAGGGGCTCGGAGACGGGTGGGCATTTGAACCGCCTCGGTTAATGTCTTGAATTAACCGAGGCGGGCATTTTTTACTAACCGAGGCGGTCACAATCAACCGCCTCGCGAAATCGATTTATGGAGGCGGTTAAAAAATAACCGTCTTCTAAAACCAATTAACCAAGGCGGGACTTATAAGAGGCCCGCCTCCAAAAATACCTCCATTTTCGGAGGCAGACCTCTTATAAGGCCCGTCTCGGTTAATATGGCCGAGCCCACTAGGAAGCTCACTCGGCCCGGTTAGTAGTCACGCTACATAAACAGAAACCCTAGGTCTCTCCCTCACTCCCTCCCTCACTCCCAGCCGACGCCTCTGCTCCCATCCCGGTGCCCCTCCCACTTCCCTCACCTCCCAACGCCCCTCCCACTCCCTCCCCCTCCCGTCCCCTCCCAGCGCCCCTCCCACTCCCCTCCCCTCCATCTCCCACCACAGCTGGCGCCTCTCCCTCCCTCTACAACCGGCGCTTCTCTCTCTCTCTCCCTCCCTCTCCCCGGCGAGCCCCGGCGCCTCTCCCTTCCCAAGCCCCATGGCTGGAGAGCCTCGGCGACGGTGGCTCATCTTCTTCTCCCCGGCGACGGCAATGCCTCTCCCTCTCCTCTTGTGGCGGCGCGGGCGAGGCTGCGGGGCCTCCTGCAGCGGCAGCGGCGCCCTCCAGGCAATGGCAACGGCGCTCTCCATCACCCTCCAGGCAGCGGCGGCGGTGGCACCCCTCTCCCTCAGATCCGGTACCCCTCCTCCCCCACGCACCGGATCTAGTGGTGGAGCGGTCGGATCTGGTGGTGGAGCAGCTGGATCTGACCGCCCGTGCTCCCCTACGGCTCGTGGCGGAGCGGCTGGACCTGGCGGCGAGCTACGGTGGCAGATACTGGCGGCGGTGGCGCGTGGACGGGCTCGATGGGCCCGTGGATGGGGTCACTGGGCTTGTCCACGGGCTTTCTTATTTTTTGTTTTTTATTTGATTAACCAAGGCAGGCTACCAACCGCCTCCGTTAAGACCGGATTAACCATGACCTTTGTGAGGAAGCGGATGGGATGCCCGCCTCGATTAAGTTTTATGTAGTAGTGATAGTCTAAGGCCCTGTTCGCTTGTCTTATGAGCCGTACTATTTCAGCAAACGAACGGTGTTTTTCTCTCACAACCAATTAGCGAACAGTACTTTCAGTCATGGCTTTTCAGCAAAATGAACAGTGCCTAATACGGGCTAATGGACTCTAACCACCAATTAGCCCACGTTGGCTCTTATTCACCCATAATTAGCTCACATTTAGGCTTTCTAATTGGTATCTGAAAACAGGAGCTAATTATTAGCTCTGGGATCCAAACAGACCTTATATATTGCCAAAAAGTCACTCACCCAAGCTGCCTGATGATGATAACATAATGTACTTTTGTTCAACGGCAATGTGCGATGGTTGTTATGAATGCTAGCTACCTGGAGAGAGTTGACATTGGTGACAACAACTGACAACTGGCTAATTAGTAACGTGATTACACGAACTCTAATATGTTAACTATTTCATTCATAGTTAGGTAGGAGTGTGTTTTAGAGTTTCTTGCTCATGCTCCCTCCGTCCTCAAATATAGCGTACTCTGGCCATTTTCAGACAAAATTAGGAAGAGCGCAAGAGACGCATGCACCCCTCACTTACCTTTCTAATGTATTTAAATCTGATTTTTTCGCATGATTGAAGGGTGAACTCTTAGTCTCCTTATACAAAATATGGCAAGTACATGAATTACTTTCTTTATACAAAATAATCACGTATTTTATTTAAGTAAATATTATCTTCTTGTCCCCGAATGCACTATATTTAAGGATAAATTTTAAATGCCAGAATACAAAAAATTTGAGGACGGAGGGAGTATATAACGGGCAAGGTGTATATATATATATATAGTGTAGATGTCGTGCTCGTGGAATGCGTTATGCGGGAATTTATTTGAGCAACGTTAAATTTAAAGATGCATAGGTTAAGTTAGTTCAGCAAGAACGTGGCTTGCTGCCGAGTGGACATCCAACAACTACGTAACTCCGAGCTCAAGTCAACTCGCAAGAACAAAACGTGCTTTATTTTTAAAAATGATTTTGCTATATGGTCATTAAGGTTTTGTTTGATGCATGTGTGTCTATTTCAATCTACATGTATTAAAGGAGAACTTAGTTTAATTTTAGTCCAATCCACTTCGACATATGTGGGTTGAGATAGATACATGTGCATCCAAACACGGCCTAAAGGCAACCATGAAGTCGACAAGGTGTAGGAATATATTCAACAATAAATCTAATGATCCTAATTATGTAATATAAATATTAATATTTTCTTATATATTTGATAAAAGTTGAAAATATTTGACTTCCTCCCATTAAGACAGATCTGAGGATCATCCCTGAAACATGATTCAACCACATCAATACCCAAATGCCTAGGCTTCTAGCGATATAAAGCTTAAAAAGTTTTTTTTCTGGAATACGCAGGAGGGCTGCGTATCATTGCATTAAGATAGGAAAAAAAAGGAAGGCTCAAAAAGCCAATAAAAACTCACACCACACAACACACACCTTGGGATTTTAACTGTTACAAACGCGCCTGTTCACAACAAAGAGACGACAAAACCACAACTACAGGAGCCGCTAGCCACCATGACTAGCAGCACCCAGACCTCTGAGACCCTTGGCGCCTGCCAGCATCCAGTGAAGTATGGTAGCTTGTGTTGTACTAGAATTCAGCTAGTGGGAGCCATTGCTTCCAATGAATGGGCCAAGCATGTAGAAAACACTTCAAGTAGCCCTCCAAACACTGTTTGACATGTTGAGTTTGGCCATCAGTTTGTGGGTGGCAAGATGCTTTAATCTTTAATTCAGTCTTTGTCAACCTGAATAGCTCTTGCTATAAAGAACTAGTAAAGATTCTATCGCTGTCTGATATGATTGCTTCAGGCAGGCGGACCATGAAGTTTGAATATGCTATCCATGTAACTAATAGCAACTTCAAGTGTAGTAAAAGGGTGGGTTAAAGGAATGAAATGGGCATACTTAGATAATTTGTCTACCAACACCAATATGCAATAAAAGTGCTTGGACTTGTGAAAACCTTCTGTGAAATCTAAACTGGAAACTTGCTAAGCGTAGTCTGATATAGGAAGAAGCTGCAAAAGGCCATTATACCTTACCTTTTCTGAATTAGCTTGCTGACAAATTGCACACTGCGCTACAAATTGCTTAATCATTGCTTTCATGTCGGGCCAAGCAAAAAGATTCTTAATTTGTGACCATATGCCTTCCCAAGGGGCTTGAATGCACATAGTCAAATATGTTGGTTTGGATAGGGGTTGTGTTATTACCTACCCAAATGCCCTTATATACCTAATGACACCTTGCATCAAGGAGAAACGCTTGGGGATTTTGGACAACAAGTGTTGGTCTTCCATATCAGATTATAAGGAATCAAGGATCCACTTAACCAAGATGGAGGAGATATGTGGCAGAACAGGCTAATCTAATGCCTCTCCGGAGTACTCGTCTTCCATTAGACACTAAGGGCCCGTTTGGCACGGCTTCCGCCGGCTCCAGCTCCGCCTGACAAAATCTGCGCTGATCACTGTAGCGATGAGCCGGTTTTCTCTCTTCACCTTTTCTGTCTCACTGTAGCGCGACTGTAGCATGCAGGAGATGAAGCCGGATGAGAAGCCAAGAAAACAAGCTTCTCCGGCTCCGATGAACAGTGCGAGTGTCAGTGAGAGGGGGAAAGGAGGAGAGAGGAAAGCCGCTCCTATGAACAGTACGCTACAGTGCCAGTGTCAGGGAAGCCCGAGCCGGCGGAAGCCGTGCCAAACGGGCCCTAAGTACTCAAGGGAGGACATCAAATTACGCAGTTCCGTCGGGCCACCCCATAGGAGAACCCGAAAATCCATATTTTTACATCAGGATCACAAATGAGAGAATAAAACTTACATTATTATTGTCATTTCTTACATAACTTTTCATACAACATCAGAGTATAATATCTGGTATTTATAACAGCGGAATATGAACATGCTATCAGAGTTATGAACAATTTAATTTAACAGTGGAATATAAATATGTGAACAGAGTTACAATAGAATTAAACATCTATTTATGACATGGTGAAGTATTGATATATAAACTAAAACAACAGATTATAAAACTTTCATTTATAAAAACATTTAGTGGGAGTTATAAATAAAAACTACGGTCGCAGCGTAAAGGAATCCTCGCTGAGCCGACCAGGAGGTATCCACACACAAGAGTCAGTTCTAACATTCGCTTGTCACCTATAACAGGGGGAAATAAAACCCTGAGTACTCAATTGTACTCAGCAAGACTTACCCGACAGGAGGAAAGAAAAGACTCAAAGGATATGCAAGGCTATCTTGCTTATGGGTTTATTATATCTGTAGGAAGCATTACTAAGCGTGCATTCTTATATTGGATTTTTATTAGTAAGGCGCATTAGTTCATTAACTAACCATCCT